TCGAACCGGGGGCCCAGAGGCGAGGGGGCGCGGGGCAGCTCCCAGCGCCGAGGCGGGGGCGTCCACCGCGGGCGCGGATCCCGGCGCGCTGCGGGGCAGGGGCGGCCCCCTCGGGAGAAATGTTTCAGGGAGGCACCGAAGTGTAACGATTATTCGTCCAAGACTGAGTGGATGAGACCCCCTCTCCCGCCGGCCGGTTTTTCAGAGGGTCCTCCTTCCTTATCGAAGGGGCTTCACTGGCCACAGCTCCTTCCAGCACCTCTCTCTGCACCCGCACCTGTAAAAACAGCAGTGCTGTGGCCAGGTATTGCTTAGCTGACAACTCTTCACTCGGCTAAGTGCCTTGCCAAATCACAGCCTCCAAAAAGCTGCCAGGCCAAGAAATAAATCTCTTAATGTACAGATTGTAATGGAAAAAATGCACAGATCCAAAAAGATGCAAAGATGCGTAATCAGGGTGGCACTAGAAAGCATGATTATAATTACACCCATGATTAGGATGGAATGGGGGAGAAGGAAGACAGAACACAATGAGAAATTTAGTGGAAAGTTCTTTAAAATAACTCCCAAACCCAGATAATCACAATATTGTTGCAGTGCTGTCAAAGCTTCCCAAGTGACAGTTTTGAAGGAGTGAAGACTCTGTGATTGGTCTCTTTGGGGTCTTTTTCCCCAACTTTTTTTGTTTTTCTCTCTGTAAGAAGCATTGCTCTTTTCCCGTGGCTTGAGAAAGAGAAAGCTCAGAATACTTTCTGGCAATACACAGATTGCTGTGATGCTGGTGTTAATGTCACTAAATCAAGAGGTTTTCTCTCTGTTTCACAGCCATATTTGAAAATATAAAAGAAGTATTTGACTTAACCCAAATGTTAGATGTGAAATGATAAAAAAAAAAAAGTCAAAACCAACAACTTAACCTTTTTATCTCTTCTTGTCTATTACATTTTCATTATCAATAATATTTTGACTCCTTATTAATAATGAATACTGGCATGATGATATATAAGTATAGCTCCATGCTTTGGAATAACATGGCTTTGCATCTTGGAAGCATCTAGTGGTTACAACTGCAATCAAAACCTGTGGTTTTTCTGTAATTTTTGTAATAATTTCTCTGTGAGTTGGACCAACTCTTATCACTTCTGTGAACTTCCTTTTTTTTTTTTTTTTTTCATACAGAACAAGGAGAGGAGAGCCAATAGACAATGGTACTTAAAACTGTAAGGATCAGGTATTAGTTGTTATTCATAACAATATCTTCTAAGAAGAAACATTTCTTCAGAGTTTGTTTAGCTGCTGTAGCTCCTGTTCTAGCTTCCATAGATTAACTGGCAGAAAGAATGCTGGCAGCTGGCTCCATATTCTAACACCAATTCACCTTACACTACTGAGAAATTAGACTTGGACTGGTGAGGATTACAGGCATAGATGCAGTATGTTCACTGTATGAAACCCAGCTAAAGTAAATGAGCAACGTAGTAAATGGGCGAATACTTCATTGCCTGCAGATTCTGATAAAGCTGGCAGGCAGAGTCCCAGCTAGCACATATTTCCGGAATCCATCCTGGAGGAGAGCAGGGCACAAATGGTTGGGTAGCATTCAGATGTGAGCAGAAGATGTAATGTTCTCACTGAATGCCCATGATACAGAAGAGTTTTTAACTACCAGCTCTGCCAACATCCGTTTCTGTTAGCTGAGGGATCAAAAAGACACAGGGGCTGTAAGCCTGACCAAGAAATAGTGAATATGCTGCCAAGTCTTCATTTTTTTTCCCAGGACTTCAGCCTTTCCCTGCTTAATAAGGTAGCCAGTATCCATACCTCAAACCTTGTCGCAAGGGAAGGATCAAAGGCACAGAAATAGAGATCTCACTGCAATCAGAATGCTGGAGATACGGAGAGACTGGCTTCCTTCGGTGTAAAAATTGCACACTCTTTGCAGTATAAAAGCTGAAAATGATGAAAGCACCATCTTTGTAAGGATCATTTAGGTAGCAAGTTACTAGCCTGTGATGACTTCTGGTTTCTCTCAGGGTTGAGAAGAGGAAAGCATCCCATTCAGTTATATTTGCTAAAGACCACAGGACCATCAATCCCTCATCATAGTGAACAATACAAATGGTAGCTGATCGATCCAAAATACTTGGAATAAGCACACAACTTCACCTCCACTTTAACTTCAGTGCAGTCTAAGCACTGTATCCAGGCTTAACGCCAAACTAGCTGGGGTCAAAACCCCAAGCACTCCAAGAACTGGTTGATCTGTTATCTTATACTCTTGTTATCCCACTTCTTCCAATAACCAAAGAAGGTACAGTTACAAGGTACAAGAAAATACTATAATTGGTGCATGATTTCTTTATCAGTTAACTAGCTAGTCACTTTGATCTTCCAAAACAATGTAATTATGACTGGCCTTAGTATTTGCCTCTTAGCCTTTCTAGTTAAAATGTTATATTCCAAAACTCTCAGAAACTGAGGAGTTATCTCCACATAGAAGTCTATCTTAGAAAGGTCATATTTATTCCCAAGAGACACAGCTGCCCTACCATTTTTCGAGATAGGACATGTCTATTTGTAAAATGAGCTGCAGATTCACTGCAGCACAAAGCAACACCCTCTCTTCAAGTCAAACAAACTAGATTAATGAGTCTGTTAAGCACGCACAATAATTTGCTTCACTGGGGATTTTCAAATGCTTTGATGGATGTGAAGAACTCAACCCCTCACTTCTTTCATACTCCCAGTACTCATTTTCAAATTTTATTATGCCATAGAGACAAGACATTAGTGACTCCAGTGACACTGAAATTTAGCAGGCCTTTGTCTCCCCTGTCCCTCCCACTTTTCTATTATTGGCCCAAACGATGATTATATAAATAAATATTAGTAAAATGGTTTTTCCTCATATTAAAAAATAAAAATAAAAATGGGAGGGGAAGCAGGAGTGCTTGGGTTTTTTTGTTTTAAAAGCAAATGATCTCTACTTTATTTGGATACATTTAAAAAGATAAGTACTTGAAAAGACAGTTAAAAATGTAACACATTTCTACCAAATATGCAATTTAAAGATACAAGTAAACAGTACTTTTCCAGTAGCTCTGTTTAACTTGTATCCTTTTATGATAGAAGTTCACAATTTATTTGATTGCAGAACACTATCACACTGTGATATCTAATGTATATTTCTCTTCCAGTTGTAGCAAGTCTAATCATCCTACATTTGTCCGGGGCAACAAAAAAAGGATCAGGTATGTAAACTTCAGATATTTTTTCAGACACTGTATTAGAGACTAAAGTATGAGTTTGAGTTGTTAGATTAGGTCTTGAAAAATGTTTGTAGTTCACCTGCTTTTACTACCTGTCCTTTGTTAATTTGTTTTGAGTATTAGTGTGCCTCGACACACAGAAAAATCTAGGGACACTCTTTGTAACAAGTTAGTGACCTGATCCACAGCTGGATGAGACTGAAGACTCAACCTGCCTCTAACTAAATATAAAATGTAAAATGCCCCCCAAATTTCATAATGGGTTGTTCTGTATGGGCACTGAGCTATTGACTCGAGATCTTTTTTCTTGTTAAAGTAGAATTTGAAAATCTCAAACTGATGGGGATAGAAAGATGTTTTTAAAAGCCCTGTATGCTGAGTGTGGTGAGAGTCAAGCAAGGAGAGTTGCTAAGCATGCTGTGTGTCTGAATTTGTGTCTGACTGCTCAGTCCCTGCAGGCCAAAAGTCATTTCAGGAAATTAGGCTCTATCTTGTCCTCAGCTTGGACACAGACCAGGAAGAAAGAGACATGCTTGCAGAGCATAAGGCAGATCTCAGGTGGCTACAATCATCCTCAAAAGATGCCTGTCTCCCTCCATTGATCATAAGAGGGAGACTCAGATAATTCTACACAGACTTGAATTAGATGGATACAGGGGCATTGATCATAAGAGGGAGACTCAGATAACTCAACTCTACACAGACTTGAATTAGATGGATACAGGGACCTCATTGGGAACAAAACACAAGAGTCCTTTTCAGACACCTGTATGAGGTCTAGAACGAACTGTCCTTCCTTTTAATACAAGTCTAGGTATTTTCCCCTCCAAATAATCCATCTTAATTTAGCCTGTTTTTAAAAGGATGTTGTCCAAGAAGCATGTCTTCAGCCTGTTCAGTCTCAAACCTTGGTCTCCAGGCTCTCTTCCAATGTACAGAAAGGAGTGCAAGAGTTTCAGGGCTAGAAAGAAAGCAAACAAGAAGGTCTGACTCTGCTCTCTGATGATTCACCTAGAAGGAGGAAATTTCTGGGCTGTGATTACTGGCCTCAGTGTTATTTATTAATTTTAGAGGAAAGAGCAAGACAAAAATAATCTATGAACCAGAGACCAGGAATTCCCTTGTCCATCTCTGTCAGGTGAACTCAGAGTCAAGCTACTGTGAATTAAAAGTAATTCTTATATTCTACCATAATTCTGTGTTTTTTTTCTTGACTTTGTGACTGATGTATTTTTGTATCCCAGCACATAGCTTGCTGATAGAGCACATGCTCAAGTCTTTTGAGATATGTGAGTGGGAAAGTCATGTCTCACGATTCTTGAACATGTGCTTTCCCTACAGGTTTATTATTTTTTAAAAAATATAAAACTATGTGTTGCCCTAGACATATAAGCCTTTTCTCTGCTTTGAAAAAATGTTTTGATTAAGAATTATATGTTTGCACCCCTAAAGAACAGCCCCATTTTCCCCCAAGTGCATGATCATACTTCTAATCTCAACAGAAAAAACTGAGGCCACTGATAGAATGGACTGTTTTAGTCTGTTAGAGAGTTCTAAGTGTCATAGGGGTATAATAATTAATGACCTAAATATGTAATGCTTAATGTGGTCATTTCACAGAAAAACAAACTACTTCCGAGGGACAGAAACCAGTGCAGTGTGGAACTTGGACAAAATACGCAGAAGGAGGCATCTTCACTTCTCCCAATTACCCCAACAAGTATCCTCCTGACAGAGAGTGCATCTACATTATAGAAGGTGACCAGCTAGATAATCTTTATATTCTATTGTCAACTGATTATTTTTTTTTAACATGAGAAGAGTGTGTAAAGCCTATATATTCATGATAAATCCTTTCAATACACAAGATTTAGAGAAGTTCTCTCTATATACTTTTGTTTTTCCTTTAAAAAAAAAAACAAAAAACAAACAACTTGATTGCTTGTAGATTATTGTAGAGCATACTAAGAAATACTGGAAAATACTTGAATTGTTTCCTGACATCACTTCTAAATTAGTTCAGGTGGTAAGTATGCATTAGTCGCTTAGTCACGAACAAATTATCATTTATTCCAGGATATTAAGAGAACCTAAAATGTTGTAGCATGGCAAAAGAAATAATATTTTAAAATTCATTTAAAAAGTGAACACCAGAAACAAAAAGCCTTTTGACTTTCACATAGATGTTTTAAACTTACCATAACTGAAGCAGGGATCACAAGCATAGTTAGGCAAAGTAAAGAATGCCAAGCAGAAAGCATCCCAATAGTAAGTGTAAAAAATATTTTCAATGCAAATGTTCATGATAAATGAAAGTTTATAAAACAGAAAAGAAAACCAAACAAAAAAAACCAACCCTAAAACAAAACCAGAAAAGAATAAACATTAACATGAAACTACCCTAAGACAGAGTTTCTAAAGAGTAGATAGTTGCAGGCGTGGAATTGATGTAAGAAAGGCTAGAGGTGTATTACAAGTAAGTTGCACAGTTTCTTTTAATCAGTCTTAACACAACGGATATTGAAGGAATTGATGTAAAAAAGGAGTCTTTGGAAAGTAATAGAGATTAGATACTGTCAAAGCTTAGTAGCAGAAAAGATGAATCATGTACACAATGGTAAGTCATTGGAACCAAGAAGATTCATTCATGATTTGTGAATACATGCAGAACACAACATCGATGCTTGTTCTACACATGCTTGGTTGGACAGAATTATTAACTACAAGTGATGGAGCCAGGAATGATAATGATATTTATTTTACTAAAGATGCAGGTAGTTTCAAGACACATTTTCAAAGGTGTCTTTCCAAATCTAGTGCTGAGTAGTAGATAATTATATTTCATAAAAATATTCCAGGGGAATGATTGATAGTAAATGATATATGTATTGACTAGGGAAAAAAATCACAGCAAAGTGACTGACATTTCTGAATTCCCCTGTGGTGCTAGAGAACTTCACTGAAGTCAGAAGTAAAGAGGTGATTACAAATAATGGAGCCAAACAAACCTTTTAAAGAAAATGTATGCTTGTCCAGTCTTCCTTCTTTAGTGTTGAATTTAATGTATGATAATTTATGCTAAACATTTAAGTCCTTTCATAGTTTAAAATTCAAACAATAAAAGATAATGTATAGATTGAATACAGACCACAGCATTATATTTTTCTTACACGTGTTGCTAGATTCAACTATTTTTTATGTTAATCAAGCTTACTTTCTAACATTCCTGTGAGACTGCGAAGAAATAAGCCTAGTATATATCCAAGACTCTGAAACATAGAGATGTTTTATCATTAAAGAGAAAGGCTGTGGAAAAGAAGTAAAATAAAAAAATTTGTGTAAATCCTGGTCTAGAATCTTGAGCCATAAGGTGTTCCTCCTCTTAGTAAGAGTGTGCTTGAAAGACACCTACTGTGAAGACCAATTTCTTTATTATATTATTTAAGTACTCATGAAAATATAATTAATAAGGTGAAAGGTGGCAAGATATGTTATTCAAAAAGCATGATTTAGAATAAGTCCAATTAAAAATATCCTAAGAACAGTTTAAAAGGAAAGATTTAATCGAAGATCTTCTATGATGAAGATAAAATTCCATGTTGACAAGTTTGGAGCAACATACAGTAGAAGGAATAGTCCGAAATCAACAAACATCTTGTTATATTTTATGGGAAAAATCAATTTGGCAAAAAACAGTTGCACAGAATTTTTTGTAGGCATTTCCTTCTTCCCGTCCAGCCATAGTCAACAGTTTGGACTGCAACTCAGTATTTTAAACCCCGTGATGACAGCAGCTGTATCGACATACAATTTGGTGAGAACCATGCATATTGCTCTGATCTCCCCTCTCTATTTCTATCTTCTTAAAAAGATCAGGAATAGTCATGTCTGGAATTTGTCATAAAAATAAACAGAGGTATAGTAAGATGTCTGAGCAATGATACTTTAAAAAGAGACAATTTTCAAAAAAAGGCAAAAGGAGGAACACCAAAGGGCAACAAAAATATTTTGTAATTATAAACATGTATTTGTTCATATATATTCCTTTTAAATCATATAAAGACGGCAGAAAATTTTAAAGAAGGTTAGCAAGTGAAAACCTTTCCCCATGTCTTTTAACTTCTGGGGAATTCATTGGCATAAGATATTGAAGTTAAAGGATTGCAAAAAAGGGATTAATTACTTCACTAATAACAACATCTGTGAGATAGGATAGCAATCTACAGAGTGGATAATCCTTACTAACCCAGCACATAAACATTCGTGCAATTTTAGAGTAAACCAAAAAGTTCTCTATATGCGTCCTAGTCCTATATTCATTATTAAGATTCCAGAATGCTTTGCTTAGCTTCTGACTGCTGTTGAATACCAAATACCAAACCAGGGGGATTGTTGATAGGATCACTTATAGCATTCCCACATTGCTGTGTCCCCTTTGTATATCTTAGAGAGTCCAGCATACCAGGACTGTATATACCATACTGCTCTGTGTATAACGTATATATATGTGTGTATGTAAATATATATACAAGATTCCTTCCTGCCTCCTTGTTTTTGTTTCTTATTTTATATTTTTTTTTCTCTCTAAAACACAATCTAGGGAAAATTCAGATGGCTTACCTCGAATACAATTTTTTCCCCCCTCAAGCTCATCTTGAATGTATGCAAGCCTTTTATAATTTCAAAATTACTTTGGTGAAGTAAAGGAGCTGGCAAAAATTGACATGACCATAAACTGTGAGTTTCTAAAAGAGAAGAGGATTTCTGACTGCAGACACCTCTGTCCTAGCATTCAAAAGCATAAGCAGATCAAACAGAGTTTTCTTTTTTTTTTTTTTCCTTTTTATTTCTTTTCTCCTATTTTAGTAGTAATTATAATTAACTGTTGCAACAACTAGGAATTTTAAAGTCTTCATTTGATGCCATTCTAAAAGGAATCCCTTAGGTCATCCAGAAGTCAAGGATTTAGTACAGAAATTATTATGTTACAGAGGAGCTTCTGGTGAATCCCATTTGCCTTTCAAAATGCATTGAGAATTAGTTCTTTTTATTTTTTTTTCTTTTCTTCTTTCAGTCTTATTGGGCATGCAGAAGGTGTAGGAAATAGCTGAGTGTACACATCAAATTCCCTCTTGTTCCCAGTTTTACCCTATTTTTCGCATATTCATGACTCTAACCTGGCAAAATTCACAGCTGCCCAGAACAATTGCAGCAGCAGCAGCATTAGCCTCTGCCAGACTGCAGAAAATCTGGAACTTGTGCTCCAAAGGGAAATTTGCACATATTTTGTAGGAGTAAAGGCTTTTATTTGTGTTAAAAACTTCTGGGGAGAGGGATAGTCATACTCAACACAATATATCTTAATAATTTTTTTAGAAAACCTTTAAACTAAATAACTGTAAAAAATTATCCATTCTTCAAGCTTTAATACTTATATTATTATTTATATGTATAGGTATGGACTAGAATTGATTTATGGAGATATTAAATGCATCTTCTGCTTTGTATGTTTTAGGACATTTAGAGTTAGCTCTCTTGAAGGTCTCTTGTGTTTTCATTTAAGACCATTAAACTCTTTAATCCTAGATATTTCACAGGTGTTATAAAATAGTCACGTATCACTGTACGAAAAAATCTCTCTCCTCAAAGTCCCTTTGGATTTCACAATGACTTTTGTGTGAAAAAAAAAGTTTTAATAATTAAAAAAAAAGAGAGAGAGAAAAAAAGGAAAGAATCCTCTTTTAAAAGGCAGCTATAGGTGGATCTCTTGCCAACAACAGCTGGACAACCAGAAAGAGCAAGTATTAATGAAAACTTAGTATTGTGGCAGCTCATAGAGATGGAGCTATATGTTGAGTTCAACATTTCATTTCCATGCAGTCTGGTAAATTAAAACAGATTTTTACCTTAACTTCAGCTACCTGTTACACAGACATAGAGGCAGATAAGAATTAAAACCTTAATAGTGTGAGTTTGAGGCAACTGTTCTTCTGCAATTTAGAACCCAATGCATTTTTCATTCAGTGCAAAATCTCAAGACAGCATTTGTGTAAGAATGACAAATAATTTAAAAATACATGAAAATACATGCATGAATCAAGTAGACTTTCCAAGATTTAAACATTTATGATGAAAGGTAGTTGGAAGCCAAATATGGAAGATTTTTAAGATTTCAAGTAAAATATTTTTTTGAGACAGCTTCAATGTATTTCTTTTCTCCTGAAATTGCAGCTACAGAAGTTCCAAAGATGTGAATGGACTTCATCTGTGAATAATTATACTAGAAATTAACACTTCACCCCTCATTTTCTGATTAGATGTCCAGATTCCAATCCAGTCTGGAAGAATTGCATATTCTGGGATTTTTATTTGTTTGTTTAGTTTTGTAGTTTCTGTAGCTATATATGCATTATTGTTAGTCATTATTCTGTACTTGTTCTCCCTCTATTTCTGTAGTTTTCACTCTGACCACATTTGCACACACTTTGTTGCAAAAGCTGGGCACAACATGTGGATTTACAAAATATCTGCTTGTTTTACGTTGTGTTTAGCAAAGAAATGCTTTGCTAAAGGCAGAGTGTAAGTCTGAAATGGCATTTTTTTTTACTAAAAGAGAGTTAAAGTTCAAATTGTCTTTTCATACTTCATGGTAATTCCCATGAATGTTTGAATAATTTTGAATATATTATTGGAGAAAAAAAAAAATAATCAACCTTTAACTCTAAATATCATACAAAATGAAGCAAGGAGATGCATTTAAAGCATATGAAGAAAAGGTACATGGATGACTGTACGGCACAGCACCCCTGCCTCCCTTTGCCCAGTCTTTAGTGATCACCACAGTTCTCACAGTTATGTAAACACAAAGCATTGTTTTCCTCAGGAGACTTAGGAGAAAGGACCTTCCTTAAAGTGAAGTTGTCTCTATGCATAAGAGCTTTGGGGGAGAGTAGAAACTCTTTCTTGAGCACTCCTTCAGCTAATGGGATTCTCTCTGATCCACTAGCAAGAGCTGAGTTTCACTGGGAAAAGCGTTGTCTTGACTTTGTTGAAAAATAAATATAAGAGGAAAAGAATAAAAAATAGCAATGTTCTCATCATAAAAATAGTTTGCAATTGAGATTGAGAGAGATACATGGAGGTTGTGGAAACTGCATTTTTTCTCAGGTTATGTTTTCACCAAGTCAATAGATCTCAGGAATAACTTTGTAGACTTGATTCTGTTTTAACCACAAAGACACCTTTTATATGATACTAAGGCTATAATTGGCTTTAGGGTTCCTTTTCAACACCAAAAATCATATCAAATGACTGAGCTGCAAGTTAGAGGGGGCCTCGTGTCCATTTTTATTGAATGTTACATGAGTCCTGGATTTAGAGAAGACCTGTTAATGGTTTAACTATGGGATAGCACTTGTAAGCCTCCTTCTGGTATGACAGCAGCAAAGGCCTAACACAGGAAGTTTATAGAGGACAAATGTTACTGGAATGGTGCAAGCTATTTTTTATACCTGACCCTGCATTCTCTATGTGAATGATGAGTAGTTGTCAACAAATCTCCTCAAATGGACTGAGCATACAAAATATAATTCCAGACTGAAAGGTGCTGATAGCTCTTTTGCCCTGGTATTGCTTAGTGAAGTTTGAATCAATATCTGTAATAAATATGTGAAGTCAAGGGTAAAAACATCTGAATAAAATTAATCAATGATGTTTTCCAGTTATTCAGCCTTTTTGTATAACCTAAAAATTCTAATTTGTCCTTCCAAACTCACCAAGAATGGCATTAATAAGATCTTCTTTAGAATATTTATTATCTGATTTTAACTTTATAATTTTTTTCATTCTTTCAAAGTAGTTTCATTTCCACTGACTGTGAATTTTGTGCACTTACATGTAAAGTTTAAGATTTTGGGGTTGTTATTGAATTTGTATAGGGAAAAAAAATCACAAGTTTCATGTAAATTGATATTAATAATAACAGGCCAATACTAAGTACTTCTCTAAATGTGAATCTATTCAAATTGAGAACAGTAGATAAGCCTTCTTTCTTCTGTTAAATTGAATATTTTAACAAAAATCTGTCACCCAATTATATTAACATTTAAAATAAAGCTATTAAATCATTTTTCTTTTCAAATAGTGTGTTTTATTAAGTTCCTCAGTGCTTCCTATAAAACAAGGCTGTATTTATTTATAGTAAATAGCTGTAAATGGGATTGGCTGTGTGCTCCTATGTAAAGATTATAAAGGTACCTAATATCTTCTTATTTTGTTAATTTTAAGTAATCTTCCTTCTTATGTGAGCAATTATCCTAAAATCTTAAATTTAATACTTTTCAAAATACATAACAAGTTCTAGGTTCTGGTCACACTGATAATTTTCCCATTAATCCTGAGAAAATACATGGAAGGATACTGACTGCTGGAGTGGCAGCAGTTTACACCTTAATTTTATGCACTTAGCTTGGATATTGATCTTGTATGTCTCCATCTGAGAAGAGTGATAACTCATGGAAAGCTCATAGCAGTTGGAACCTCTTCTAATATATGTGAAGTGTAGAACACGATCCAATGAGAGGCACAGCAGCCAGGGACACAACAAACTCTCATCTTAGCCGATGGCCTTGTCAGCAAAAGACCACATAATACCATGATCTAGACATTGAAGGCATATGTTTTTTTGCAGTGGGCAGGACTAAACATAGGAACAGCATTCCCCAGGGATGCTGCGTATTTGATATTTGTAGACAAACCCATGATTTTTTTTTCCCCCCTCTTTTTAAGAAAATATCATAGTTCAAGCGGTAAATGTTTTGCTTTTTACAGGAGACGCCAGGGAATATTTGTTTTAGGCATAATTCTGACAGCTACTAGCCTTAGTATGTAAGAAAAAAGATGGGGTTTATGTCTATTTAAGTGACCACTATAAAGTTTCTTCAAGGTTTTCAGCAGAATATTGTTTGCTCTTTAGTTAGATGTTCATTTTGCTTCATTCTTCTCTAGTTTCTTAAGTGCGAATTCACTAAGCTTCTCCTGATGTTTCCAATGAGACAATAAGTGATTCTGAGTGTAAGTAATTACACTCAAGCTTGTCAGTGACTGCAATACATATAGGAACAGAATTTATCCTTCTTACTAGAGCAAACTCTGATAAGTTTTTTCTTCATTTTTGTGAGGATTGGGTAAAGTAGTATTCTGATTAACAATACCCCTTGACTCCCAGATATAAGAAAATGCTGGTTTTCCAGATGCAGAAGATTCTTAGAAAGATTTTGTGTTTGAAACAATTGCTCCTTAACTGTAATTTACTTTACATTATAGATACATCTCTTAGTTTTAATAAGAACTGCTGTCACTACAACTTTTTTTAAAGGAAAAGAACAGACAAGATAGCTGATGTTGTAAAATCCATTTTTTAAAAAGTGGTAATTTTCAAACTAGTTAATAAGTAAAATATGAAGATGCATGCAGAATTTATATACTTTATTTCCTTTCATCTTGGTTTAGAAAATAATAAGATAATTTTCTTTTTATCCCTAGCTGCTGCTAGACAATGCATTGAACTACACTTTGATGAAAAATATTCTATAGAGCCTTCTTGGGAGTGTAAATTTGACCATATTGAAGTAAGAGATGGACCTTTTGGCTTCTCTCCAATCATTGGACGTTTCTGTGGACAGCAAAATCCACCTATGATAAAATCCAGTGGCAGATTCCTATGGATTAAATTTTTTGCTGATGGTGAGCTGGAATCTATCGGGTTTTCTGCTCGGTATAATTTTACACCTGGTGAGTACAAACCGTCCCACTTTTTTAATAGAAAAAGCTTAGCATAGTAACTTGGCTAATGATGTATAATTGTGCTGTTGAATAATACCTTTAACTGACTGTGTTTATTATCAAGGAAAGTATTAATAGAGTGGAAAATGATAGAAGGTATGTATATCTTTTGCATAACGAGTAAGGCTTATTCAAGGAAGAAATTTTCAGTAAATTTTTGTCCAATATACATATACTTAGCCTCTGAAGTTTTTAAAATAATTGTTTTCAACTGAATTCTACTATAGAAAAGAATTCAAAAATATTAATGGGAAGTTATGTGGTTTATGCTTTATTGTTAAGCTATGCAACTTTTCTTTCAAACTGATCACTGATAAAGTATTCTAATAAAAAATGTATTTATCTCAGAATATTCCATCATTGTTTTTTAGTTTCACTAGTCATTTCCCAAACTGAGAAGTGGAATAGTTCTCCCTTTTCAATAAAGCAAACTGTTACCAGTATTGTCAGAGGAACTGAGAGATTCAAATAGTAAACTGTATGCAATATTTTTCTAAAAAAGGTGTAAAGTGTAATTGTAATTGCACAATCATTCCATGTCACTTCCAAAAATCAGTTCATTAGTGTGAAACAAAATTCATAGTCCTACTTCCAATTAATTCCTGTCCTCCCCCTCACTTATTAACGAAAGATTGCTGATTTTAAATTTCTTTTTTTGACTGCAGCTACACTATACTGCATTGCATTGCTGGATTTGACGTAGTTCTGTACCTTCTTATGTATTGAGTAATGACTCATACCTTAATATAGCTCACTTTAAAGCATTGTAATTATGTAATTTTGTCAATTATGTCACTATTCTTTCAGCTACATTGTTGTATTAGGTGAAACAATAGTCTCTAGACTATCTGCTAAATTTAAAAGGTCCCAAATTCTGCTACTTCAATTATTCCAAAAGCATCATAGAAGATAGCAGGAGTATTTGACTGTTCCTCTATGCCATTTTCTTTCCATAATGCAAAGAAAATAGTTATAAAATTATCTAGCACAGTTCAATTTGCTTTTAAATCAAAGATACAATTTCCCAGTGGGTAAACTTATTTAGCAGGTTCAAACAGCAACAGAACACAGAATTTCTGTTGCAAATAACCTAGTAGCCAGATGTATGTATCTGTTGTAAATACAAAGACAATGGTTGAAATTCTCCTATTTGCATGCATACTTGTCTCTGAAAAGCGAGCTACATTTCTTTCTCAGATTTACCATGGCTCTGTGTGCTTTTGCCATTTTCCTCCCCAACTCTGCCAGAAGTTCTTTGCTTTAGATTTCATGTCCCTCTTGTTTTAAAGTGTTATGTATTATTGTTGGAAAAATGTTCATAGCACAATATGCAGCTTATTCTGTCTAAGAAACTCCCAAGTGAAAAACAATTTCATGAACCGTTTTTATCCTCATTCTTTTTCTATTGTTGTAAGGTGGATTTCTACACAGACATCAATGTTTTTAAATTGCTATAGCAGCATGAATTATTCCAGAAACCAGATGGAATAGCCATTTCTTTTTCTTTTCCTTTATTATTTTTTTTCTTCTATAGACTTCAATAGGAAGCTCGGCAAACAATAGAGGGTTTCAAGGAATATGGGCCAAGATATGAATTTGATTAATCAGATAAACACAAAATAGAGTGCTGCCTCCTTGATCACCAATAACAAGAAGCAGTTCTCAATCTGCATTATTACTTGACAAGTCCTTTATTATCCTTTATTAGGGGTGGAAAAGGCTTGATATTTTGAGACCTGTTGTCTGAATGTGTGCAGTAAGAGGGGTCACTGCCAGCTCATCAAAAAGAGTGATGGCTTTCAAGAGTGTCTAAGAGTAGCATGGAGAGGAATTGCATCCAGAATTTATTGCCTAAACCATCTAGATCCATCTTGGGTAGTCACAACATATGAAATTAAATTACAAACAAGGATAGATCATAAGAAAATCTTCAGCTTAACTCTCTTTAAAGAATGTCAAGAAGTTGATACAAAGATAAGACTCATGTGTAAACTACTGGCATCTAGAGCAGTTGAACACTCAGGGGAGATGCAGTTTGTCACATCTATCTCACTGGGCACAAGTAGCACACTTTGTCTAACTGCAACAGAGCTATTTCTGTAGTACCAGCAATCTCTGATGTTTCCTACATGTGTGGTCCCTACACACCTCTTAAATGTTCCTCAGTTGCCACTTTTACATTTGGCATATTGATTGAGACTCTGGCTTGTTGATAAAGACAGGAAGTGTGGTGTTGAATGAGTGGGTGTGTGGAAGGATTTTTCAAAAAAGTAAATTTTACTAAATTGAAGCTACAATCATTTATTCTTATTTGAATGGTACCTGGAGAAGAAGAGAATTAAAGTATTTACTAAGTTTCCAAGGTGTACAAAAACAGCTGGATAAAATTGAAAAAACTTCTATTAGGATATCTAGAAAAATGTTCCAATGAAATGTACAAATGAAGAGACCCTTGTCACCTGAGATATTTTAAAACTAGTTTGGTCTAAGTCCTAAACAGAGAAATCGTAGATAAAAATCCTATGGAATAGACTAATATTTTGCCATTGCTAGAACTTTTCTGCTGAATAATTTCTTTGACTCCTTAATATTGAAACAGTTGGAACTTCATCCACAGTACCATGGATTTTCAGAAGTGTCTCAGAGGGCTAGGGTTTCAGGCATTTTGCAAAGAAGATCCTTATTAAGCGGATCATTTACACTTCTTACATTTTTTGCAGTTTTATAAATTATGGGGTTAAGTAAGATTGTGTTGAATGGTGCTCTTCTTTTGAGATAAGGATTGACTGTTGCAGTGGGTTGTTTATTTTTTAATGTTACAGATAAATGACAGTAAGAACCAGACGCAATTTGGATGCAAAGTAAATTTTCAACAATTTTGTATACATGCAAATTTATGAGTAAAACAAAATAGATGTACTCTTTATGTACTATTTTAATTTTATTTTGCATTTTTAAAGACTGATTTACTGTGATATTTTGTAAATGGAACTATCCAAACCTACGAAACCTTCATCAATGTCTACACATATATTGCTGGTTTTATTCAAATCGCATATGTAAAAAATGGCAAATCAGACTACAATATTTTCAGGCTGTTCTGGTT